GCGAACTATCTTAACGAGCTTGATGACGAAGACGTGGCCTGCATTTGCAGGTCCTGACTGGAAGGTAACATAGACGTCGGAACGATCAGCATCAGCAGCCGCCCAACAGAGCATGACACCCCCACCGAAAACTACAAACTCTATTGTAACTATAAAGGCCATATTAGAACTGTGAGAACTTTACACATGTTCCCGAGCCCGGCATCTTAAAGCCCTGGACCCGATGTTCCGGCATGTTCCCTTTTGGCGCTGAGTAGTTACCAACAACATAACCTTAGGGTGCCGATGATAGTTACCTTGCAAGAGGAAAACTATTGTTATTATTGTAATATATACATATGTATATATCGTGATATCAGATCATTGTCAAAGAGGTATTTTAAAACCCTGCTCAAATGAATCAGTAAGGCCCGTATATTAGACTAGAGGACGGACGACACCGTGATGCCATGCAGCGAAACCAGACGCCCATGCCTCAGATAGAGCAGAAGATGTGAAAGTGCGTCCTATGCATGAGTGCTATGAGCTTCCACTGCACCTCAGCTGTGAGATTCCAATTTCTCACTACCACGCTTTTCAAGGATATCTGACCCCCTCATGATGTAGCTTGGTGTGGCATTTTCTTCAAAGTGTCCATGGCAGGGGCGCCACAGCGCAGGCTCCGGCAGAGGGTGGGTGACACGACCTGCTGAAGGGGACATGTGTTCCGTAACTTACAGCCCCTACACGGAATGTGGTGGGCCTGAAGAACTACCATTGCTAGTCCTTAGGGTTCCTCAATATGCTTATCATATATATGGCCTACCCAAACCCCAAAGGTAATTGTTAAGGTTAGCGACCCTGTATTTTTTCCCACTCGCGCTCGGGCAAGCCTGGCAAGGTCTGCAGCGACCCTGTATTAGGCCACCTGGGTTTTGGCACGAAAAGGAACACTCCGCGAGGTGCAACATGAGCCCTAAACCCCTGCCAAGGCGAACCCACAGACCTGTCACAAGTTTGTGCCATCATGTCTAACACATATATATATATATATGTATATATATATATATATATACATATTCAGCCATGTAGGAGGCAAAAATATATATATATATATATATATATAAATATATATATATATATAGAGGGACGACCAGAGACTAGCATGTCTAGCTTTTCAGGCCCTAAGACTAAAAGGATATGACAGACTGTGGAGCTTCAAGGCTTGAGGCCCTCGAATACGTAGAGTATAGTGTAGCCCCAACCTTCTTTAGAACTGTTAAGGCCCCTAAACCCTAAACCCTAAACCCTAAACCCTAAACCCTAAACCCTAAACCCTAAACCCAAACCTTTTTACAACTGTTAAGGCCCCTACAGTGAGCACAAACCTCCTGTGACAGGAACCCACAGCTTGCCTCAGCGCCGATGCCGGAGGGTACACTCATGCGGTGCGTGGTCCAAGTGTTAGGGCTTGGGGTTGAGGCGTTTAGAAGGCATTGATACGTAGTCTGGAAGGAGGTGCAAAGGGTTCTATAAGGGCTTATTAAGGAGTCTACAATTCCTGGTTTGCACAAGAGCCTAGCGCTTCCTTAGTCCGTTGTTGTGGGCCTGGTCGGGAGGTGGTCGTCCTGAGGAAGGTCGCCGTCGAAGGTTTGTATTCTTGTGTTGGCTCATAGGTCTTCATGTTGCCAGCCTGCTGTTTGCGCCTTTGGCTTCGGATTTGTAACTCTTCTGATATCCCAGCCTGTTTCCGAAATGGAGACAGTCTCAAGCTTCACCGATAGCAATCGTTTCGCAAGGAACCCTGCATTGCAGATTCCTGGCAAAAGGATCCCGCACTGCCATATGGGGTGTCTCCCTGCTGTCGGTCTCCGAAAATTAAGGATTGAATTGCCCATATGAGATACCTACTGACGTAGTGTTCCTTGCTTTCCGAAATTCCCATGTTGATAGAAGCCCTGGCAAACATCCCCTTCATTGCACCTGAGGTCCCCATAGCCCATACTGAAGCCTCCATAGAAGCCCTTTGAACATGACGAGAGCTGGCTGTTTCCACAAAGGTTCCGACAGAGGCTGAGATCTTTGAGCTTTCGGAGATCTGTCTCGAGGCCTCTGCTCCCGGACTTGGTAGGTTTAAGGTTTCGGGTTTAGGGTTTAGGGTTTAAGCTTTTGGGTCCTGCAGTTTCCGTCGTGTCAGTAAGGGCTTTCGGCTTTTTCCTGCCTCCGCTTTCCGCATAGTGGCAAGTCCTATGCTCTATTTTGTTATATTACCTGATATTATAGTAATTTTAAATGTTCGAGCTTGCCTTTCGCCCGGGTCTGCAAAGCCCTTAGCCTTCGAAGCTTCCGAAATGGGGCCTTGACAGGCAAGTGCTGGAGCTCCACTGTTAACTGTGGTGTGGCAAAAACGCAGTGTTTCGGGATCTCATGAGAGGTGGGTGGTCGGGCTCCAGAGCCAGAAGCCACGAAATATTCAACCAAACGAGACGAAACCCTAAACCCTAAACCCTAAAAGCCCTAAACCCAAAACTCTAAACCCTAAAGGCCCTTAAGGGAGAAGCCTCCGATACTGACCCGTATGAAGCACGAAACCCGACGGTACGTTCCAACTGTTTCTCTTCGGACGTGAGAATATGGCTTGGCTGGGTTTGGGGTCTCGGGCTCACGCGTTTAAGCAGGGTCTTCGGCTGGAGAGTTTTCGGTTTGGGTTCCACCCGTGATGGTCATCATGGTCTGTTGGCACTTATCCAAACTCCTTACCATGGCTTAGTCGAGGGTTTCATTCCCCAACTCCCCCTGCTAAATGCGAAACTCTATTTATGGAAAGACCTTTGTAGCTTCTCGGTCTGATAGCATTGACACAGCTGCAAAACTTCGCCTTGGCCTAGGGCGGAATTGCCCTCGCAGACTTGGCGAAGAAATCAGAGGTCGGCAAGGCCGTGTGCAGCTCCCTGTGATCATTTAATCTTACATAATTAGCGCTGCCATTCCCTGTTTTGCGGAAATCCCTATTCTACTGGCCAATGTATGCTCTACCCCACGCCGAAATCTAGTCATTCAGGCCGTTTATATTGTCGAACACGATGTTTTTCGTAAAGCTCTGAGCCTTGATGTGCCAAGCTAGTGCTGATGCTGGCTCTGCAGACTCAACTAAAGTTTGTGTGTGTTTTCTGCATTTCCGATTGCTGGTCCTAGTCCTGCGGCTGCCGCTACTGTTTGCTGTCATGTGCTACAGCAGCAGCAACGACCACAACAACAACAACTACTACTTCCTCTTTTGCCACCACTACCTCCATCACCGCCGCTGCTGCCGCTGCTGCCGCT